TATATATATATATATATATATATATATATATATATATATATATACTCAGATATCAAGTGTTGGCAAGGATGCGGAGGGAGAAAAGGGACCCTTGTACACTGTTGGTGGGAATGTAAATTAGTACTGCCATTATGAAAAACGTATGTAGTTTCCTCAAAAAAAAAAAAAAAAAAATTACCACCAGCTTATCCCACTTCAGGGCAAAATCTTGCCCAATAATAGTAAATAAAACACAAATATCTTTCCTGTTCACAAAAAGAAAAGGAAAAGAGAAACAGAGCAAGGTGTTAAATTTACTGAAATTCAAATACGAAACTTTTACCATAGTGGCATTATTCACAGTAGCCAAGCAAATATCGAATGAATCAATAGACAAAATGTGTACATCCATACAGTGGAATATTATTCAGCCTCAAAAAGGAAGGAAATCCTGACACGTGCTCCTACAGGGATGAACCTTGAGGACATCACGCTGAGTGAAACCAGCCAGTCACAAAAGGACAAATACAGTCTGCTACCACTTACAGGGACCCCTAGACTCATCCAGGCATAGAGACAGATAGCAGAATAGTGGCTGCCAGGGGCTGCAGAGGGGACTGGGGAGTTAAGTGTTTATGGGACAGAGCTTCAGTTTGGGAAGATGAGAAAGTTCTGGAGACGGATGGTGGTGATGGTTGTGCAAAGTGCAACTATATATGATGACCCTGAACTGTGCACTTGAAAATGGTTAAGATAGTAAAGTCTGTGTTACATATATTTCACAATAAAAAAATTTTTAATTAACCAACTTCACTGAGAACACACTATAAATTCCTGGCTCCTGAATGTGCCTGCTGTTTCCCAAGCACGCTTGTTTCCAGCCACAAGACATAAAGCCTGTGGCCTCTCCTTAGGCTTCCTGATGGGGAGGCGCCTTCCCTCCAGAATGTATGTGCAACCCATGGTTCTCTCTGTCCCCAGGATGGTCCCCAGCACCAAGCAGGACTCACTTTGGCACTGAGCTGACTTCGTTTGCAGTGGCCAGCTTCCCCAAGACCAGCTCCATTATCCGTTCGTCTGGCGATGTGCTCACAGGCTCGTCCGGTGGGACCTCAGTGATGATCTCTGCCACTTGCTCTGTGTAAGGGGGCAAGACAAGGTAAGTCATCACCAGGCCAGGGGACGGACACAGCCACATGAGGGAGAGATGCTGCCCATGGGGACCGCAGCCAGGCCAAAGTGGTAGACATGATCATTAAGGTTTACATAGGGGAAAAAAATATTGGCAATATTTTGGGATCCACACATTGATACACAAAAGCAAAATATTTTTCTTAACCCAAACTAAAGTAATAATTTGTGATTCTTTTTAAAACCACAGCATTATAATGTTGCTTCAATTCCTCTTCATACCAAACAAAACCATTTAATTTATAGGGGATCTTATAACTTAATAAATTAGTTCTGATAGAGATTTAGGAATATTAGTTTTTATAATTAGAACATCTTGAATATGTTCAAAAAGCAGATACTATTTTGTACGAGTCAAATATCAAATAATCACAACAACAGAGACCCAGGCCAGAAACTTAGGAAAACTTAGCTGCTCCACCTACAAAATATCTTCTGAACACAAGTAACAATGGGTGAAATTATCCACAAGCCCCCTTCCACTTTCGTCCTGCCAGTCTACGGAGAGGCACGGCCCGTGCCCCAGGCGGCTGCAACCACCGCTGTCCTCCCGATTCCAGAGGCCCACGGGGCAGTGGGGTTGGTGCCGCGCTGCTAGCACTCTTCAAGTACAGAGAGAACAAGAGTAATTCTTACCCTCACAGAGAAACCTTAGCACACCCCAGAGAGTGAAAAGAAAAACTTCCCAGTGTCAGTAATGACAGAGGAAGGGGTCAGTGTCTAAGTGTCACTTCTCTCCTCACGTGGGAGACGGGCCAGGCACCGCTGTGCCAGGCGGCTCTGACGGGATGGCACGAGGACTGCAGCGACGAGAGCTTTTCAGGGACTGCACACCCTGGGAAGTGGGTCAAACCTCCCTTCAAACTCAACTGGGGATGGTGTGCAATCAGAGAATGAATTCCAGCTGGGGCCCAGAACACCGGTGCCCACCACAGATAATGGTAAGCAAGCCCTGGGCATCCCCACAGCAGACCCAGCGGTGTTTGCAGTCCAGGAGGATTCTCAGCCTTCATGCTGCGGGGAGGAGCTGGCACAGAGAACTCCCCACATGAGAGTCTAGGATGGGCGACACTGACGCATGCGAAGACAATCAGGAAGCTGCTGCGGGGATGGGAATGTTCTCTACCCTGATGGGGGTGCTGGGTGCACAGGTGTATCCTCTCTGTAAAATTCACTACCCATGCACTTCTTAGTGTCAACTATACTACATGTAAATTGTACCTCAATAGAGCTTATGGAGAGAAAAAAAGAAGGCTGAGAATCCACCTTCCACGGGACCTCTCTGTGCTGTTTTTGCAGCTGGTGTACAGGTGACATGGTCTCAGGCCCTTCTCCCCGTGTCCCCCTCCAGGCGCTCACCCCAGGACCAGCTCGCACCTGCCGGCTCCTTGTCTTCCACGATGACCAGAGGTTGCTCAGTTTTTGATGCTTTGGGTTTCCTTCCCCTTCGAGGCTTCTTCTTCTGTTCTTTGGCAGCCCTGACACCGTCACTCTCGGGCATTACAGGGGGCTCCCCCCGGGGGGCATCTGATTCCTTCTCAGGAGCCACCTCATTCTGGTCACCAGGAGGAAGGCTTTTGGCTTGTTCTAAGTGACCCAGGAGATGCTCTGCAAGAAGAGACCAACCTGTCACGCACCCATGCCCTGCCTCCACCCTCTACCCCCCTTAATTTTGCTCGCTAATAATGTGCACTTTGTATAGGTAAATGAACTTTACTGTTTTTGAAAACAGAAACATCTCCATTGCACCAAACACAACTACTATTTAAGAGTAAATTAGGTGATGAAAGCAGGGTAGGTTCACCATGAAGATAGTAAAAACTAAAAACCTTTGAAGGATTTATCAAAATAACTGTAAATGCAAACAGAAAAAATAATGCAAATTACAAAATATTTAGAACTGAATTATTGGGGAGGAGCTGAGATCACATATCAAAGAGAAGTATATACACTCTACTTACTGGATGCAGCATGTTATATAGACCCATTAAATCAAATATGTTAATTGTGTTCTTCAAATCTTCTGTATCCTTGTAATCTTTTTGTCTGGTTGATTCATAAATTGTTAAAGAATATATTAAAATCTCCCACAGTGAGAGTGGATTTTTCTATTTCTCCTTGTAGATCTACCAGGTTTTGCTTTATATATTTTTAGACTATGTTATTAGGTGCATATAAATTTAGACACATTGCATAATCAAAATGTGGAATATAGATAAGATGATTCTTAGAAAGAAATTCATTTTTAAATATTTATATTAGAAAATAAATTAGCTGAAAATCAATGAGCTAAGTATTCAACTTAAAACTTAGAAAAGAATAAACAAAAAGTACAAAAAGGAAATAACGAGAGCAGAAATTAATAAAATAAAAAATGAAAATATAATAGAAAGGTCACCAAAGCCAAAAATTGGTGTTTTGAAATAGTCTTTTATACTAGTTATTGGTTTTACATTAGTTATATTAGTTTATGTTAGTTTACAATAATTATTAGTAAAAGCGGCAAGAAAAAATAGAGAAGGCACAAATAACCAGTATTGCGCTCCTACTAGAAAACAGTAATCCCCTACCCCCGTCTCTTCCCACCTATTACTCTCTTTCCGTTTCTCAGTATTAGATGTCATCTACTAATTATTTAATACGGAAGACAAGAACTTAGCTTTCTTATGCACTGTACTCTCCATCCCAAATATTCACACTTCTCTTCAATCCCACTGATATGTTCAATATCACAATTTGGGGGCAAATCAATAATCAGTGTTTATAAGATTATGACTTTAAAATATATTCACAGCTGTGTTATGCTTAGTTTTTTGTTCTGCTTGGCATTAATTATTGCTTTACCTTTTATTATTGGCTTATGTTTTCCTGTGTATGTCACTGGTTGATACCTAAACTCCTTGCCAGAATACAACTCTTTACTCCACAGTCAGACACATCAGTTCATTTCTTTCTTTTTCAGCCATTCTTCCTGGAACCCTTGGTCCTACTCCAATCTGGGCCAGTTATCCTTTAGAACTAGGGGACAGCTATTGTCCCACAATCTCCTTCACCAGCAACCTGGGCTTTCCTTTTGCCCTTTCCCTGCAAAGGATCCTCTCTTTCCTGTATCCTACTGCAGTGGACATTTGTCATGCCTCCTGGCTGTCCAGCACTGTAAAAGATCCTTCTGGTGGTGTGCCAACTCCTCACCATCTGAGCCCCACCTTCTCTAGAAAACTTTCTCAGACTCTCCTGCCCTGAGTGCAGGTGGGCGCCCCACTCTGCGGGCAGTGTGGGGAAGCAGAGGCCTGGGAACACATTTCAGGCAAGTCAGTGGAGGTGTGTGGCTTTCAGAGGCTGCCCAAGTTTGGACTGTGCAGCCCCATGCCAGTGTGGGTGGCAGGGTCTAGCCAAGTGGTCTGGCTGGGACAGCCCTGCTGTGTCACTGCAGGGCTCTCCTTACTTGACTTTTTGTCCCTTTCTGGAAATTCTGTGAGCTATTTAGTGCCTTCTAGATGTTTCTTCCTATGCAAACACCTGCAGCAGGGTCTGTGAAGACCCAGCATCTGGACCCTATCTACGTCCAGGGTTGCATGTGTTCTCCACAAACTTGGCACTCCTAGAAAACCCAGCAGCCACTTTGCTATTTATGTCCTGGTTACAAACACAAAGCACTTCTTGCCAAGCAGGACAAAATGACACATTAGTAAATACGTTAAAGCCAAGGTTAGTAGGATGTCCCAGGAACGTGTGACCAGATAGCTCACGTCAGATGGCACCTGTCCCAAAGCAGATGAGTAATCTCTGCTGAGCAACCAAGACTTCTCTGTAGCATGCTCATGTCAGCCTTCCTGTTACTGAAACTTGCCTGAGAGGAGCCTTCTCACAGGTTCTAGAACATTCTGATGACTGACCTGGTGATGGGAGCCAGAGTCGGGCCTGTGGCACCAGCCTACCGGCCACCTTGGTGACATCCTTGAAATTACACCACCTGAAATGCTGTTGAGGACTCGGGGCCCGCTGAGCATGTTCTACATGTGATAAAAGGTCACAAACTGTATTTACACACGATTTCTCCCATGGCTTATTTGACTGAAGTCTTTCTTTACTACACATGAGCCTCATAAGAGGTATGTAGAAAAATCAACTCCTTAACAGAAATAAATAGAAAGTCCCAGGGCAGTGCATAACTTGAGAATATATTCAATTCTTTCCTAAGCACCTTAAATTGGTACATCAACCTGAGCAGATAAAAATGTCCTGCAAATGAAAAATGGTGGGAGGGACAGTCGAGCAGGACATGAGGGCGGGACCACACAGCAGGTCACTGTGGCCGGCTCTGGCACCTGTCGGAACTGCCCCACACCAGCACCCAGCCAGCAGGTCGGCTTCTTGCAGCAGGTGGCTGGACACGGTCATAACAGTGGGGAGGAGTAAGGCCTGCTGCCGCCCAGGGGAGGTGGCCCAGAAGCTCTAAGAAGGCTTTGGCTCCGGTGACTAGACTCAGGGGAGGAATGAGCAGACAGGACACAACTGGGGACATCCGACAGCCACAGGGAAATGACAGCATAAATCAGAGGAAGTGTGACACGAGCTTTTAAAATCTAACTCACCCACCCGAACCACGCCACCCCCTTACCGTTCAGGAGGTGCAGCTCGAGGAAGGTGGCAGAACACACTTTACACACCCACTGGCTGGGCTCTGATTCCACGGGGGTGCTATTTTCTGGGGTGCCTGCAGCTTCAAAAGACAAGAGAGGAGGATAGGTGACCCCTGACCGAAACATCTACTCCTGTCACTTATGGCTTGTGTTGACAGGGCCTTAACAAAGGGAAACTTCTGGGTCTTCTAAAAAATCACGCAGACCTTAGACCACAAAGGCACTGGGCACCAGGGAAAGCAGACTCCTTCTGCATCCAAAACTAGTGCCAAGGATGCAAAGAATGGAAGAAAAAGATGTAGTCGTCGCTACAACTGTGCGCACTCTTCCTCAGTCTTCATGAGATGATAAGCGGGAAGAGTGGGAGAGCAACGTGGAATTTGCTGTCGTGCTAAAACAAAGAAAGAGCAGAGAGAGAATCTGGTGGGAGCCCCACGCAGGCAAGGCTGGTTGGTACAGGACGTCGCGTTGGCACCAGCTTCCACTCTTTGCTCACTCTCTGAGGATCCACTGGCTAAGAAACCTGGATCAAGATTGCAGACAAATGGAAATCATCAATGAAAATCTGAGCCAAATTCCCACTTCTCACTCACATCGCAAATATACTCGGGTTCCAAAAAGGGAGAAACATATCAGAGCTTCAGAAAAGGAGGCTGAGAAGTCCGGGCCCTAGTGGATAAATGGAATTTGTTCTAATGCAACTGGGCCACTATCTACAGCAACAGGGTCCCCTACCCACTCATGAATGTGAATTCAAGGTAACCTGAAAAGAGAAACCATTCTCTTCAACCTGGTGCTCTGACGCTAGGTAAAGAGGACTAACTAGAAGAACCAGCTAGTCATGACAACTGACCTCTCATCAAGAGAAGTGTGCAGAATTTTCCAATTATTAATTAAAAGAAAAAAAAGAATTTCTAAGAAAAAAATTAGCAAACATTCAGAAGGCAACGCTTGATTGCCAATCACATAAATATCCAACGAAAGAGAAGCACCTCAGCAAAATGATACACTGCAGAGCCCTAAATGACACCCTGGGGCATGGAGGCAAGGACAGTGACTTGGAAGAGCGCATGTGAATGAAGTAAGGATAGGATGGCAGGTGCAGCAGGACATAATGTGTAAAACCACAGACTCTGAAAATAGCAGAATGACAGAGCAGACGGCAGCTCTGTATCCGCCAGGACAGCTGCAGGCAGTGTGGGACAGCTGACGGGGTCACAGGAACGCTCTGTACCCTGACTGTGGCGCAGCCTCCTCGACAGTGTGCACTTAACCTGGGTGACTTTCACTGTATGTAAATACACGCTACATCATCAGTGCTGGTTGTTAAAAAGCACTAGAAAATGCCAGTCAAAAACACCAAAAGCAATCAGGTTGTAATGGCGATGCTGTATGTGATTTTAAATAGTTTCCCCAGTGGTAAAGAATGTGCCCATATTTTATCTTTTTCATTAGAAAAGTGATTTTGAAAATCTGGTGGCAACGGCCCACTCTTACCCCACACTCCCTCCCATGATGAGCCATGAGGTTTCTTGGGACCCTCCTTCACCTACCAGCAGGATTCATGTAAAGAAAGAAAATCAATTTTAAGGTGAGCTCAAGAAAAAATATAATTAGAAAATTAAATCCACTACCAAAAAAATTAAAATTAATTTTTAAAAGGAGAGTCACTGCTCCATCAGGACAGAACCCAACTTTTCTCTGTACTTAGAAGCCTCTTCCACCAATCTGCAACACAGACTGATTTCTATTACAAAAATGCATGTTTGAAGCAAATACAGAAAAGAGACAGAAATACATCACTGAGTCTTAGGAACTGTGACGCTCACCAATAAAGATTCTGCACAGCACTGAGTAATTTATGAGAAGACTGTTCCTGGATCCATCAGCCACCAGTATAATTCTGCAGAGGTCGCATCAGTGCTCTGCCCACTCCATGGCGGGCTATGAAGGCCACTCCCTGCCACCCTCAGCAGCAGTGTCATGAGGCCTGTGCAGACCAGAGAGGCCTTGCTGCTGAGCAGGAGCGGGAAGCCATCCCTCAACATGACTGAGCTGGATCACTAGGATCATGCAGACAACCAGCTTTCTGGATGTTTCTAGCCTCTCTCCACAGGTCTTGCTATCTACAGAGACTCTCATTTCTAAGAAGCAGGCAGCAATGGGCTCCCAACACTCAGCTGCAGCTCGTGAGGTGCTCAACACAGGCCCCCTAGACTCCAGCAGCCCGGGGTTCTCAGGGTGGGCAGGGTTCTATATGTTCCCTTATGCCTGAGGGGGACCCCTGGGGACTTGGGGAGGAGAGCTCCAGGGAAGGGGCTGGGACGGTGGCCAGGAGGTAGGAGGTGGTGCAGGGGCCTGAGGCAGCAGATATTTTAACGAACAGCACGGGGACCCCAGGAAAGAGTCTGCCAGAACAGCCACACCCAGAAGGCCAAGCAGGTGGTCAACAGGTAGCTCACTCAGGAAGAAAAGAAGGAAGGAATCCAACCAACTCACCAGTGCACAGGAGCCAATGACATTCACTGTTTTTCTAAGAAATGCTTGCTATGTGTCCCAAAACAGAAAGTAAAAACCAGAAAGTGGCTCTAAAATCTTAAAGTACCTAGGTGCATATTCATTTTCCCAATTAAAAAACTTACTTAGGTTTAGACAATGCACAGGGAGACATGCATTCCCACTTATGCCAATTGTTCTGGTGTAACTATCAAAAGAGTCCTTTTATTCTGGGAGGTTTTAGAGGAGGAATCATGCAGGTGCCCAAGGTACTCCTGGATTAGGAGGCAACTCTATAGGATGACATGGTCCCAGGCTAATTTCATTTACATCTATCATTTCAAACGCAGATCCAGATTAAAGAGCTATCCAGCAGGTAAAAAGCGAACAGAACAACTATAACTCAGATAAGGGGCAGCGACCTTCACTTTGACTTTGAGAGCATGGGACGTGTGACATCATCCAGGACACAGGCTGACAAGGGGGTAAGTCCCCAAGGTCAGTGTCTAATAACCCAAACCCTGTGACTGGCAGTCTGGGCTGGCTGTAGCCACACACAGTGTCCATTGCCCAGGCCTTAGGGAATCCCAGATATGAGAAATCCAGGCCCACAGATCCCTGCACATGACTGGGTTAGCCAGCCTTGTTCTGCTCAGAAGTGGTACCTGGCCCAGTGGGGGGGGGGGGCCTCCCTTGGGGGGTCAGGCCCATGCTTGGTTTTAGCAAAGCCAAGAGAGTGGGGCTAGGAGCAGCTGGTGAAAAGCAGTTGGTAGTAGAAAGCACAGTTTTTTCTGCCCCCTCCACTATCAACATAAGAATTCCCCCTAAGGCTTGCAGCCTCTCTCTGCAAATATGTCTATGAAGGGTGCAAACCCTCCTGATGCTCAAGCTCCCTTTACCATCCTGGCAGAAACAGGGAGCTGCCACCACCCAGACCCTGGAGGGAGCCCCTAATCTGACTCCTCACTGACACTCCCCATGACCCAGCCTGTACTGCATTCAGTAGTGGCCTCTAGATACATGTCCACTCAGGACCTAAGGGACAGAGTCTTTGCAGAGCTAATTGAGTTAGGATGAGGTCATACTAGATGGGGGGAGGGGTGTAAATCCAATGACTGGTGTCCTTAAAACGAGAGGACACAAAGACACTGGGGAGAAGACAGAGGCAGAGATGGGAGTGATGCTGCTACAAGCCAAGGAATGCTGGAGAAGCCAGCAGCCTCCAGGACCTGGGGAAGGGCCTGGGCCAGTCTCCCTCAAAGCTCCCAGAAGGCACCAGCCCTGCCAACTCTGTGCTCATGGACTTTGGGCCTCTAGAACTGTGAGAGAAAGCACTTCTGTGGTCAGACGGCCTGGGCTGTGGTGCTCTGCTAGAGCAGCCTCAGGACACATGCACAGCCTGTCCTGGTCCTTCACCCACACTCTGCTGTCGGCCCACCTGGGATTAGGGATAACCAGGAGTACTTTAAAAACCTCAGTTAAAATGAACAGGACAGACCAGAACCATGCAAATGTGTTAAGAATCTGTACACAGCCATTTAAAATCACATTGTATTTATAATAAAAAGGGAACCATTTCCAAGGGAGAATCATGTCATTCCTGGGGCGGCGGGGTGGGGGGGGGAGTCAAAGGGAGAGTCGACCTCTATTTCACTCCCTTGAGCAAATAATCACCATGGCAACAACACACAACGTCTGCTCCCAGTATAGTGTTAGGTTGAGCCTTATGAAATTGCTGCTTTTCCAGGCCAAAAACCGTCAAGTAACAGCAATTTCATATGGTTTCTTCAGGTTATATGAAGAGGATCTATGCGAAAAAGACCTACCCATGGGTAAGAAAGATTTAAAACTCAACAGGTCCCCTTTATGGACAAGGCAGTGCCCAGGATCCTGGTTTAGGGGGATAAGCTTGTGATTCACTTTTCCAAGAGGAACACGGTACTCGGGTGACTCACTTACATGACTTTTGCTAAGTCTTTCTCTAAAACACACACACACACACACACACACACGCATGCACGCACACATGCACACACACACACCCATACATGCACACACACCCTAAATCCAGAAGGGGCTGCTGCAAGGTGAATAGCGCCAACACAGGAGCAAGATTCCAGGATAAAATCCTGACGCTTTCACCTACCACACTGTGACCCTGTGCGAGTTCCTTACCTGACCCATATTCCCTTTCCTCTGTCCAAAAACAGGGATAATGCTCTGACCTCACAGGACTGGGAGGATGAGTCACTGGATGGAAAGCCCTAAGACAGAGCTAAGTGTATGTCACATCCAAGTGCCCAGGTTCACCACAGTGCAGCTGAGGGGTGGGATGTGCTGGCAGCAAGGGGTCAGCTTGGGGGAGCTCCTCTCACTGTCAACCCAGGTGTGCCGGGCCCACGCTGGTCCCGCACCATCCATCTCATCAGTGTTGGGTTGGCACATGTGGCTAAGGGGTTGTCGACCCCTCCTTGAGTCCCAAGGCAAGGGGGGCTTCAAGACCGGGGGGGTCCCAGCGCCACGTACCGTGGACACCAGAGCAGGACTGCTTCAGCATGGGCTTGTCCATCTTCTTGGCATAAAAGGCCGCATACCACACGCGCAGCTCAGTGCCAGGGGGTATGTCGCGTGAGGTGGTGAAGTACACATCGCTGCCATGCTGATAGGCCGTCAGGTTCTGGTGCTCAGGCACCGCCGCCGGCCGCACCAGCATCATCCAGTTACAGTCGTCCTCGTTGGAGGTGTCGAAGCAGACGGGGTTCCCGTCCTTCTGGAACACCTGCAGGGAGAGCCCAGCCCACCCAGGGCCAGGGAGGGGGCTGTTTATCCACCAGTCTTCATGTCAGTGTGTGTGTGTGGGGGGGGGGGGGACAGGGGAGGTTGTGCTGAGGAGCCCATCCAGATGATACCATGTCAGAGGCCACATCAGCCCCTGTCCAGGACCTGTTTAGGTGTTCTCAGTGGTTAGGAGGGTCACAGACAAATCACGTGGCTTAGACAGGTCAGGCTGGTCACAGGCAAAAAGAAGTAGTGGACACAGTAAAAGGTCCAGGTATCATCAGGACACCTGAGTTCTACCCATAACCTAGGTGGGCATCGGGACCCCTAAGCGCTACAGGTAGTCCAGGTGTCATTAGGACACCTGAGTTCTACTCATAACCCTGGTGGGCACTGGGACCCCTGAGTTCTACACCTGATCCAAGTGTCATTGGGACACTTGAGCTCTACACCTGGTTCAGTACAGCTCCTGGGTGAGTACTATTCGCAGCTCTGTGACAAGCACGCTGGGTGGTATGAGCAAGCTCCTGAGTCTGCAGAAGTTGCTCCCTCCTCTGCGAAACAGCACTATTGATTTATGGGTTAAATGCAGGCAGGGAGTGGGGAGAGAAACAAATATTTTGAATTTAAATTAACCACACAAGCATGGGGATTTGTCCCCTATTTTCCAGTGTAATTGCTGCTTCCTCACCGCAGGAGGAGATCTGTCTCCTCTCCTAAGCTTTTGTGAAGAGGCCCCTCTTGGGACAGAAGTGAGGCGGGGGCAGAGGGGCCACCAGGTGCCTAATGACCACAGTTGGTGGCGGAGGGCATGCTCACAGTGGGCACCACCCTCCCTCTGGTGGCATGAAGCTGCCCCTGGATACATAGGTGCTCGATGCTGGGGAGTGCACAGACAACAACCCAATACCAGACCAGAACTTTCAGAAGTGAGTCAAAATGAGCACCGAGGATTTTTCCGAAGGGGCCTCAGCACGTTTGGAAAAGGAGCAACCATGTGCCGGGTCTGGCGCAGCCAGCTGCCTTTCTCAGGCTCACTTTCAGACAGTTTTACGTCATTCTTTACCATAAAACAGCCTTTCTCTTTCCTAACTTTCTTTCATTCCTTTTTTTGTAAAAAAAAAATCAAGGGTCTCTCCTTTTTCTACTTGCTGCTGAAATCTGCAATCTAAGCTCAATTTTTCAAAGGATTGCCAAAAACCTGAGGTCCTTTATTTCATCTGCCTGTCTTGAAACCAGTGGATCCCTTTTAAGGGTCTCTAAGAAAAGCCTGCCTCTATCCGTGAATGCTGCATTGCCCAGCCTCCCGCTCCCTGTCTGCCTATTTCACAAGGACTCTGAAGGTCTGCTCTGTGCTGGTGCCATGCTGAGGGCAGGGAAGTTACAGTGAACTCCACCACCTGGCCAGCCTTGAGAACCCCAGAGGTCTCATCTTAAGTACTCTAAGCCTGCCTTGAAATTTACATGAATTTCATTTCTGTTTCACCTAAAAATGGAAAACAACTGTGTTTTCTCACTCTTATGTGCTGTTTAGAGCGGCCAAACTGTACTATCCCCCAGTGTCTCAATGCTGCCTAAACCAAACACCTTTCTTTAGAAAGAGTTTTGCAAAGTACCGTATGCTCTGTACAGGTGTCGATATAACTGTACGTGCGGTGATGCACCCCCGCAAAGAACTACAGAAACCATTACCCCTTAAACCTGCAGGATCGACAGAGGCTGTTAGAGAACTAAACAGCATTTTGGTTTTACTCTTGCATACATTTTAAACACACTCTCTTTAATGTTTTGCAAAATTGGAAATTATAAAATACTAACTTAACTTTGATGCTTTTGTTATACAAAAACAAACTAAAAAGAAAAATGTTTTCTTGGAAACGAAGCAGAACTACCACACTTGTATTTACAGATGTTTCCAAGGCATTTATAAATGATCAAACTCAGTAGTGATCGCTCCCCATTCCCACAGGGGAAGGTCCTGAACACACACAGGTCCCCAAGCTCCTGGTGGCAACAGCCTGTACCTTCAGGGGAAACACAGACTCCTTCTCCCACTTGGCGACCCTCCTAGATTCAAATGGACCAAACTGCGTTCTCTTGACGAGCTGGGTCACAGCAAATACTCCCTCAGCCCCGTCTTCCAGTCGTCTGATCTCCAAGTTGGGAGGAAGGGACGACCTGGAAATGGAACAAAATAGGAGACTCACAAGAGGCCCCACCCGCACTGCTGAGGCTGCCACCGCACCAGCGGACAGACCAGCTCAGACCACGGCAATCGTGCTCTCACTGACCACCTGAGTCTCCTGAAGTCCGGTTCTCAAGGGCAACAAAATAGGAGCTTCCTCGTAAGTGCTGAGGTTGAGGTCTTACTCTAATGGCCTTGGCCGCAAAAGACCCACCACGAAGCCCTGGCAAGATTCACCTGGAGCCCACGGGGAGGGGCCGCGTACTGCAGGATGCACCGACAGCCCTGTGTGCAGGAAAGTGCTGGCACACACATCCCCAGTGTGGGATGCTTGGGAGCAACAGAGCTGCATCAGGCTTGGTTCTTGCCCTCAGAGGAGCACAGTTTAGCAAGGCAGGACCACAGAGAACTTGATACTGAGGTGCCACGTGGCGAGTACCATGAGAAAGGCACAGAAGTGCCACAGGCATTCCAAAGTTCGGAAAAAGGCTCCCAGCTAGGATGAACTGGGACAGTTTCACTGAGGATGTGGCCTTTTCAAGTAAACTAGAGGTGAGCCAGGCACCTCAGCATGGGGCGAGGCATGGGCGAGCCTGGGACATGTCCAGGAACAGAGGCAGATCCCGCACCTGCAGCACAGACTCAGCGCCTGGAGCACAGACCCCTCACCTGTAGCAGAGATGCCTGGTGGGGTGGGAAGGAGGCTGGGCTAAGACACAGGAACCCATCACAGAGGGCTCGACTGTAGGACCAAGAGTTCCAACTGAAGTTTCATGGGCAACAGGCAACTCCTGAAGGTTTTGGGGAACAGGAGAATTGAGGAGCTCTTCACTTTATGCAAACATTAATCTCTTTGAGTAGAGTAAGTCATAATGAGAAAAAATAAATAAATGGGGTGGCGGAACCAGTTGGGAGGCTTCTGGAAATAGTACTGATCAAATCGCAACAATCTTCTTAGCATCTCCATATGCCAGGCAGGATCACACACAACCTCACAACAACCCCATGGGGGTGACTGTCATTTTCCCCACTTTATAGAGGTAACTGAGGTTCAGAGAGGAGAACACCTTGTCCAAGTTCAAACAGCTACCACATGGCAGACCTGTGAACTTGGAGCCCTTGCTCTAGACTAGCAGGTACCACAGCCTCTGTGAAGGTTAATTCAAGGTGTCAACTTGGTTAGATGAAGGAATGCTGAGAAACCTGGTAAAGCAATCTTTTCAGGTGTGTCCATGAGGGTGTTTCCAGCAGAGATTAGTATGAGAGTCTGAGTGGCCTGGGTGGGAAAGACTCACCCTCAATGTGGGTGGGAACCATCCAATCCACTGGTGGTTCTGAGAGAACAAAAGACAGAGGAAAGAGGCGAAGCTCTCTCTCGATCTGCTGAAGCTGGGATACACTCCTCTCCCGTCTGTGGACATCAGAGCTTGAGACTCTTCAGCTTTTGGGTTCCAGAACTTACACCAACGACACCATCAGCTTCCCTGGTTCTGAGGCCTTTGGATTTGGACTGAGCCACACTACCGGCATCCAGTTTATAGACGGCCTATCGTGGGATTTTCTTCATAGTCACGTGAGCTAATTTCCCTAATAAATCCCTCTCATATAATTATAACGTATCCTATTGATTCTGTCTCTCTAGAGAACCCTGACTAATACAGCCTTCCACAGGTGAAGGTGAAGGCAGCCACTGAGCTTGCTCACTAGGTTTGCAGGTATGTTTTCCAGAAGCTGCGATGGCTGGGCCTTGTTACCTGTACTCACGACTCAGTGTTCCCCCGACCCCCACAGCCCGCCTTGCCCCTGGGGTGCATCTGTGAACTGGCAGCCCAGATTCAGAATGCAGAGAAAACCCAATGCACAGACCTACAGCATGCGTGCTTCTCAGTGCACCCACCAATGTGGCCGGTCAGCTCTTCCATGGCTGCTATGCTGTGCTGGAGACAGTGTGGCACCTAAGAACCCTGAGCTAGATCAAAGAAACACTCTGAAGCTTTGAATGCTTGGAGGCTCATCCCAGCAGCAAGGCCACTCAGCTCACAGTTGGATGGAGTCATCGACACTCTTTCAAAGTCTCCATCCTCACCCTTTCACTCCTTTTTCCCTGTCTGCAGACATAGATGTTGCTATGCCCTTGCCGCGGGTGACATTCAGACAGCCCCATTTGACAGGGCTGTGAAAGCAGCTGAGGCGGCCACTCACCTTGCCCTGCTCAACACAAAGGAGTCCTTGACCATGACCACGGGGCCCAGCTCAGGACATTCGGAGTCGTGGTACTGGCTGCAGTCTTCACACCCTGTAAGCAGACACCTGAGCATCAGAGCATCACAGGGGACGGTGTCCCAGGAGGGAGACACCCAAGGACACAAATCTGGGAAATAGGGACCCCTGCCCAGTGGGGGTGACCCACGGTCGTGAGACACACGCACACTGACACCAGGAGATAAGCAAGTGGGGCACATCAGGTGCAGAGAGGCCTGCCTCAAGAGGTCCCCCATTCTGCTCCCCCAAACACCAAGAGGGCAAAAACAGCACACGCCCCAGCAGCAGGCCCCGCCACGCCATCTCTTCTTGTGAGTCCCCACAGCACTTTCTGAATCAAGTGCCACCCCTGCACGTGCCCTCCGCCGAGTGAGAAAGACCACGCCCTGCAGCACACGGCTCATGTGGTAACTCATGTGTCTTAAAGCAGGCACAATGATTTCAACTTTAACACAAACAGCTTTTCTGAATGTAAAAATGACATCAGGAGACAGAAGGCACCACGCCCATCTGCATCTGTGACAGCGAGCCAGTCCCAGACAGGTCCATGGGTCACTTACAGATGAACATAATCTCTTCACTCCCATCTTCAGCCATCGCTGACACCTGTCAGGACATGAGAGAGCTTCATTAATGACGAGCTTTTACCAAAGCAGTTGTTAAAGACGACTTCTACTGAAGGCCTCCTACAGCCTTTGCAGAGATGCGATGTTGTGCTTAGAGAAAACGTGCAGCGGGGTCTCCTCCTAGGGTGGGACAGGGCTGGGGGCCTGGAGATGTTTCCTCACCTAAAATTATGGTGTTTCTTAATGAAAGCAATGGGTTTGAACAGCCTCATGACTGGGATGTCTTCATGAACTCAGACTCCCATATTTTCATATCAGCCATCATGCTGCACTTGTGAAATAAATGGATCACCATTTTAAAAAGCCAGTTTTCATGTTGACCCTTCCTTTTTCCCCCTCACTGGGCCATGAATGCCTCGAGGGCAGCTGTGTCTAATTCAGCCTCTCTTTCTTCAGCCTCTCACCTGTGCCTGACATCCCATCCACAGCATCTTCTCTGGAGACCGGAGCCACACATTACATGAAGGAGGCCTCTCCTGGCCGAATAGGATGGGTCTGGTTGCTTCTATCTCCCATCTTCCCCTTGAGGGTTATCTCAGGAACCACCTCCACATCAGGCAGCTGACCCCCGCGCGCACGCGCGCGCACACACACACGCACACTCACACTCAAGGGCTCATCTGGACGTTGTTCATTCTGGGGCCTCCGATTCCTGAGTTATAAAATTGAAATAAAAACGCCCACTTCGGGCAGTGTGGGAGGAGCATACGGTAAGCTGCACACAGTGAATTACTCACAGTACTGCGTGCTACCAGGTACCACCCTGCCGCAGCCCCAGCCCCCCAATGCCACATCCTCCCATGTCCCACTTCTGATGCCCACAGCTGGGAATCTCCGCAGGACAGCACACATGCCGACACCTCTTAAATGCTAACTCCACACGTCCTCCACCCCATCCTGTACCTGCAGCTGAAGAATGAAGAATGAAAAGAGACAATGCATGGGCCGGCCCGGTGGCGCATTGCTACAGTGCGCCGCTTGGGAAGCGCGG